CCAGGGGACGGCCAAGATTAACCTGGTGCAAACATATGGAAGGAGTCTGTTCCAGAGTGCATTTGTCTTTGGCCGAATCTCAGACTCTGGCACAGGATCGGGAACGTTGGAAGCTCTCTCTGATGTGTCTGCCTCCGCGACCCGAAAGGAGAAGCGGCGATGGAAGATGAAGATGAAAATGAATTACCAGCGACATCGGAATGTTGCTTTTCTGGGCGCAGCTCCATCAAATTTTTATGCTATTACCTGTTTCTTCTTTTGCTATCGTACGGGTGACGGACAGCAAAGCTAAGTCGAAATATCGAAAAATTTCTGCGCCCGACGGTGACTTCCGGCTCGGTGTTACTCCTGCCACTGAATTCTCACGGAAAGCAGTTCAAAGCAACGTAATACATGGTGTGCTCTTCATAACCGCAGTGGCATCGCTGCCTCGCTTTATTTTCAAGCGGTAGAAATAACGGTTGTGCATTACAATAGATAGGAAATTAACTGACCTCTAATTTGACAAGAGAAACAGAATATTATTGTAAATTTCGATAATCTTTATGACTTGAAGCGGAATTTAAATATACAGCTTTCTGCAAGCTATTATTACATAACAAGTTAACACTGCATGTATTTTGTTTGTGTACTGAAACACAATATAAAAACGCTTTATTACATTACAACGTAAAGAATTAGTAGAACGGATGACAGTTAGACTACTACTGTCGCTAATGTGAAAGACATTAGTTTTAAAATCAAATTAAACTCAATCCTCTCCCATTACGAAAACTACAGTGAAAAATTAGAAAGGATAACAAATAATAAATATCATTTGAATGTAATGGATAAAGTTATAATGTTTTACTTCTAACGTCTTAGCGTTTTACTATTTAAATCTGAGAAAATCAACCTCCACGCTGGGTTCATAAATTACTATGTAATTGCAGGAAGTTTAAGATGGAAGAAACAGGGAACAGCGTTACTCAGCTAAAGAGGAAGACAGTTATAGAACCACCTGCCATAACT